AATGCGCTGTTTCTGGGACAGGACATGGGTAGAAATGTGTTTTGTATTATCCTTTATATCCTTTTGCATGCCAGAAATATTACATAGTATTTTTTAGTCAAAGTAAAAGTCAAAAAAGGAAATTATTCATACATATTACCCAGGTAGGATTATGCATACATATGCATGTCTTATTAATGCAAACCAGTGTTTTATGTATCTACTCATTAAGAAAACAATATAGTTCCAGAAAGATCCACAAGTTCATGTGCCATACAATAATCATCACCCTCAAGATTCTACACAAGAAATAAAATGTTAGAAATAAACAAAGACAGCAAAGTTGCAGGATACAAAACAAACACAGAAAAACTAATCACATTTCTATATACTAATGATGAACAATCTGGGAAAAGGAAATTAGGAAAGCAATTCCATGTGTAATAGCGCCAAAAAGAATAAAATGCCTAGGAATAAGTAGGCAACAAGTTGTGTACATGGAAAACTACAAAACATTGCTAAAAGACATTAAAGAAGTCACAAATAAATGGAAAGATATTGCATCCATGAATCAAAAGTACTGTCAAGATCACCTAGAGCAGGGGCACCTGGGTGGCTCAGTGAGTTAAGCCTCTGCCTTCGGCTCAGGTCATGATCCCAGGGTCCTGGGATCGAGCCCCGCATCGGGCTCTTTGCTCAGCAGGGAGTCTGCTTCCCCCCCCTCTCTCTCTGCCTACTTGTAATCTCCATCTGTCAAATAAATAAATAAAATCTTTAAAAAAAAAAAAAAAAAGGATCACCTAGAGCAATCTACAGATTCAAAGTAACCTCTATGAAAAACTTGCTGTATTTTGCAGAAATGAAAAAATCTACCCTAAGATTCCCATGGTATATCTCAAGAAACCCTGAATAGCTACAACAATCTTGAAAAACAACAAAAACTGGAGAATTAATGCTTTTAAAACCTACTACAAAGGTATGATAATTAAAACAGTGAGACAATGACATAAAGAGACATACAGAACAATGGACTAGAACGGACAGCCCAGAATTAAATACTCCCATAAACAGTCGAATGATTTTTGACAAATGTGCCAAGACCATTCAACTGGGAAAGAACAATCTTTTCAAACAAATGGCAGAGCAAACTGGATATAGATGCAAAATATGGAAAAGAAAAAAACATCCTGTGTCTTATATTACATACAAAAAATAACTCTAAATGGATCAAAGACCTAAACATAAGAGCTGAAACTATAAAACTCTTAAAACTCTTAGAAGAAAACATAGAAAAGCTCCCTATCAGATTTGGCAATGATTTATTAGACAGGATACCAAAAGCACAGGCAACAAAGGAAAAAAACAAAAACAAAAACATAAAATAGACTTCATCAAAATTAAAAGCTTTTGTGCATCAAAGGGCTCTATCAAGCAAATGAAAAGGTAAAATGCAGCATGATACAAAATATTTGCAAACAATATATCTGAATAGGTATGCAAAATTTATAAAGAATGCCTACAGCTGAGGACGCCTGGGTCAGTTGGTTAAGCGACAGCACTGGGCTCAGGTCATGATCCTGGAGTCCCAGGATGGGAGTCCTGCTTTGGGCTCCCTGCTCAGTGGGGAATCTGCTTCTCCCTCTGACCCTCTCCCCTCTCATGCTCTCCCACGTATAGAAATAAAAATTAAAAAAAAAAAAAAAAAAAAAAAAGAATGCCTATAACAATGAAAAAAAAAATTTTTTCAATGGGCAAAAAAACTTACAGATACTTCTCCAAAGAACATACAGAGATAGCCAATAAGCTATGAAAAAAATGTTCAACATTACAAATTATTAAAGGAAATGTAAATCAACACTACAAAGAGCTACTACTACTTCACACCTATTAGAAGTCATCTATTATTTAAAAACAAAAAGTTGATGAGAATGTGGAGAAATGAGAACCTTTGTGCACTGCTGATGGAAATGTACAATAGTGTAGGAACTATGGAAAAGAGGACAGTAGTTAAACATAAAATTACCAATGAAAATTGGTAAAAGTCTGGGGTGCCTGGGTGGCTCAGTCAGTTAAGCCTCCAACTCTTGACTTCAGCTCAGGTCACGACCTCAGGGTCATGAGATCAAGACCCACACGTGGCTCCAAAATGGGTGTGGAGCCTGCTTAAGATTCTCTCTTTCTGCCTCTGTTCCTCCACTCTCCACGCTCCCCCTCATACCCCACGAGCTTGCATGTGGTCTTTTTAAAAAAAAAAACAAAGATTTTTTTAAAGATTTTATTTATTTACTTGACAGAGAGAGAGTACAAGCAGGGAGAGTGGAAGAAGGAGAAGCAGGCTCCCCGCTGAGCAGGGAGCCCAATGTGGGACTCGATCCGGGGTCCCTGGGATCATGACTTGAGCCCAAGGCAGACGCTTAACCAACAGACCCACCCAAGCACCCCACAAAAACTTTTTTTTTTCTCCCTCTTCTTAAATAGAAAAGAAATTTGATAAAAGTTTAACCAAAAAATTAAATATAAAATACCATAGGATCCAACAATTCCACTTATGGGTATGTAGCCAAAAGTACTAAGAACAAAGCCTCAAAAAGATTATACGTAATGTTCATAGCAGCATTATTCCACAGTAGCCAAAAAGAGGTAACAATTCAAATGTCTGGATATCTGGATGGATAAACAAAATGCAATTTTATAAATACAACTAAATATTATTTAGCCTTGAAAAGGAATGAAATTCTGATACAGTATAGAACATGGATGAACCCTGAAAACATTAAGATAAGTGAACTTTGTCAGACACCAAAGGGCAAATATTACATAATTCTACTTAAAGTTATTCAGAATAGTCAACAATCACAGGCAAATTAGAATGGTTTCCAGCAGTCGGGGTGGGGGAGGAAATGGGGAGTGTTTAATGGATACAGTTTCAGTTTGCAGAGATGAAAAAATTCTGGAGGTAGACAGTGGTAATGGTTGCCTGACAATGTGAATGTACTTAATCTCTCAATATGGCACATTTAAAAATTATTAAAATGGTAAATTCTATGTTATGTATCTTTTACCACAATAAAAAAAAAGGTTGAAAAGGAATAAAAATAGGGGGCGCCTGGGTGGCTCAGTCATTAGGCATCTGCCTTCGGCTCAGGTCATGATCCCAAGGTCCTGGGATCGAGCCCCACATCAGACTCCCTGCTCGGTGGGAAGCCTGCTTCTCCCTCTCCCACTCCCCATGCTTGTGCTCCCTTTGTCACTCTGTCTCTCTGTCAAATAAGTAAATAAAATTTAAAAAAACAAAAGGAATGAAAATAGAATTTTTTACTGGCCAAATGCAGAACTGTGGTATGGTGATAGCAATAAGAAACTTAAACACAGAATAGTTCAAAATTACGCAGTATAAAAGAATGTCTGGGCTGAACAATATAGGGATGAGAATACAGGGCCATTCCACTGGGGGAGGACGTGTAAGACTGACAATCAAGAAAAGAGAGGAAGGAAAGCTGTTGAGATGACAGACCTGTAACAGTCTCATAGCCCCAAATGGATCTGCTTTGTTAAGTTATAAATAGAGTAAACCTTCATCAAACACTTGCTATTTGTCAGTCACTGTTCTAAGCACTTTATATGCACTACCTTGTGTTTTAACAAAATTGGCCTTGGTGATTCTGCCTGTAACCAAATTTCTGCTCCTCTTAATTACATGAAAAGTTTAACTTGATATTCAAATAATATAAATAGTTCTGGCTATGGCTTGGATTTCTGAAACCAACTGTTTTCAGACATTTAAGAAGGGAGGTTTTTTAGTTACACAGTTAAATTCACTTCCCCTCAATAGCATCTCTCCAATATCTTACCACATGCATATAAAAATGCATAAAAACTGTATTTAAAAACTATGAGGATGAGTAATCATATTCTTTAACCACAGGTTGTCCAGCCTTACATTTAGTGTGTATTTTACTTTTTAGTCTTTCTCCCATCCCCAACTTCCATCTCTACTGCAAGATATAAATAATTTTATTGGTTTTTTGTATTATAAAAAAAGATGCATGCTAGCATTTAAAAATATATACAAAATGTAAAAACACCTAAAAATAGCCTCAAATGGCTATTTATTTGTATTAGCAATCATACTATGAATTACTCATACATAATAACCTTAAAAATAGTGCAAATTAAGCAATAAATAATATACTAACATTTCAACATAAACTTTTTTGCAAACTGAAAATACCTTAATATCTTTAGTATTAAAGATTCTTCAATCTTAATGTTGAAATGTAAATAAACTAACAACTGATTCCTACCAACTTCATGAATAGTTTTAGCTGCAGTTTTTAGTAGTATTTGCATGCATTAATTTTTAAACTTTACACTTAAAATTATCATGCAGGGGTGCCTGAATGGCTCACTCAGTTAAGTGTCCAACTCTTGATTTTGGCTTGGGTCATGATCTCAGAGTGATGAGAGTGAAGCTTGCTGAAGATACTCTCTCCCTCTACCTCTGCTGCTCCCCCACTTTAAAAAAACATCATCCATAACAAAAACAAAAAAAAAACCCTATCATCCAGAACTATAGATTTTTGCAAAATGTCTTCTATCAAGGCTAATTTATTGCAATTATCAACAACTATAAAACTCTATGATATAGGCAGTCAGCTCTATATGGAGCAGAACAAACAGCCATGAAAGCCATACAAACAATCTAACTTGGAGGGATTCTATAACAAATCTACCAGTGCTGAAAATGTCTCCCGTCAGAATCATCTCCTTTAGGTTACTATACTATTTTCAGAATACATTTGTTAAAAGCAAGTGTTCACTAGAAAGGAACAATTACTATATGCATATAAAAGAAACAGTTCATAACTTTTTTAAATTTAAGGAGCATAGTGCATTCAGTAAAAATTAACCAATAATTAAAAATGAGAGTATTAAGGTCTACTCTTTCAAGGAAAATAGGTAATATAAAGATCAAGTATTAATGGGCTTATATATTCAAAGTAGTGACACCTATGACTTACCTCTAAAATCTGACTAGCTCTAGGTAGTGGGTGCCCATCAGTCTGGACCACTGTTATCTGACTGGGAGACTGTGACAGAATGCAGGAAGAGCTAGCACAAGTCTAAGAGAGAAAACAAGGGTACTTTTTCTCTGTATAATATTAAGCACAGACACAACTTAAAGGTCACTAAAACACTACCTAAGGGACACCTGGTGTATACTTATGCTTGATAAGCAATCACTTATGTTTGATATAACCTTGTGGCAGATACCACATAGTCAGTGTTAAGAGTTTCGTGGTCATCTAAAAACTTGCAGAGCTCTTTTACAAGAGCCTAAACAAGGTGCCTCAGGCCTCTACAATTACCTACATAGTAAGACAATTTATAGAATGCAAATAGATACTAGATGAGGTCATAATTCAAAATAACATTGTTTTACAGTAACATAGGAAAGATAATTTTTAAAAAGCTTTATGATATAAATATGGCTTAGCATTTTAGAAAGTAAAATTAAGATGTCTTATATTCCATAAATGCTTCATTTTGATACTCTTACCTTAGGCTGGTCAAGAATTTGAAATTTTTCCCATACTATTTTATCACTGTCAAATTTTTTCCAAGGATTGTTCCATTTTTCAGAAGCTTCTTTTTCTTTCTTCTTTAAAGCAACCTGTTCATCTGTAAATAATGTCCTTTTTAAAAAAAATGTAAAAAAACTGTAAAAAAAAAATCATGTAAACAAATCATGACCTTCTTAAAGAGTGGAGATTCCAATACAGATCTAATCAAAATTGTTTTTTAAGGAGATTAACTCACAAGACAGAGAAGAATTTTAAGAGATATGGAAAAAAACATTTAACCAGAACCAAACTTAAGTATAGCACAATGGCTATAAAATGTTTATTATAATTAGCAATAAAAATCAAGGATCCTAGAATCAAATCCAAGTTCAACCACTTCCTAGCTATGCAACTGTGGGCAAACTGCTATTAGCGTTCTTAAAACTCAGTTTCTTCTGTAAAATGTGAAGTGTCTCTTCCAGTACAGGGTCTAGCTCAAAGTAATATGTAATAAATATCAGCCTCTGTTATTCATAACTGCTGAAGAGTAAAAAAAACCAAAATCTTGTGTCTAACAAACTGATATAAAAACTAGGCCTGAGGAGCGCCTAGGTGGCTCAGTGGGTTGGGCCGCTGCTTTCGGCTCGGGTCATGATTTCACGGTCCTGGGATCGAGTCCTGCATCGGTCTCTCTGCTCAGCAGGGAGCCTGCTTCCCTCTCTCTCTCTCTCTCTCTCTCTGCCTGCCTCTCTGTCTACTGTGATCTCTCTCTCTGTCAATAAATAAATAAAATCTTAAAAAAAAAAAAAAAAGGAAGTACAACTGTTACTTCACATATTTTCCAAATTCTGACATGTAGACCATAAGTTTAGTCCAAGAAGAAGCAAGAGTTTCTTAGTTACTATCAATATTTTATGACTCTTAACAGAAAAGATAAATTTTTCTGTTACAAGGTCTTTGGCTGAAAAAAAGCAATAAGCTTGTTTTTGTATGGAATATACTTACTGATACCATATTAATGATTCTCGGTCAGAATGTTTTATTTTAAAGAATGAACTCTATTTTTAAATCAAACCATCTTTAAATCCAGAGGATTTCTACAATGGAGAAATAGGAAAATGGATTCTCAGGAAATGAGAGTGTTTAGGAATCTTTGAGCTCCAGAATGATACTGATGACATTAAGGCTTATTGCTCACCTCTGGTCTTCTAGTACACACCAACAGACTACCAGACAAAAGTCACAATCTAAAGGAATATAAAACCACAACGCTTTCTACATATTGCAACAAATTAGTCTAGATGGTAAATGTTATAAAACAAAATTTTTTTATAAAATCATACTGAAAAAAACTATTTCAACCTTAATATATACTCCTTAAGGCAACAAGACTATAATAAAAGGTATAACAATTATCTACCAAGCTCTTTTCTCCACTGGGCTTTTTTTGCTTCCAACAAGCTTCTGTCACGTTCTCTTTCCCCCAGAGTACTGAATATGTCAGCTGGTTTCCAAACATTCTCTCTAAAACAACATAAAAAAATAACAGAAATCTTGTATGTTTCTATACAAGCTACTCCATAAATATTAAGTAATAAACTTAAATAGCTTTCAGTCTTCAGACTGAAAATTTCACATGAAATTCAAAGAAAAGCAAAACCATTTTCACAAGACTCCACAATAACAGATATGAGTTACATACATGGCAATTTTCTGCTCATACTGCTTAGATGTCTCTTGATTTGTACTTAAAACGGATTTATTTTCATCTAGGAGAGATGAAAGCGTCTCAGTTTTCTGGAGTACTCCCATAATGTTCTCATCCTCTGGCTGATTGGAAATATTGTTTAAATGTAGATTGCCCTGACCTAGGGGGTAAAAATGCATGTTTTAAAATGAACACTAAAATCGCATGTATTACAATACCTTATTTTGGCATACTGCTACACACTTTAGAAACACTGCCTTACACATTAACAAAGTAACCACCTCTCACAGCAGTTCTTTAGTGGGTATTATGATTCCCTTTTGTCAAAAAAGGAAACTGAGCCCAGAGGTTAAATGGTCCAGTGATACGACCATTGCTATATAACCTCATGTGTCCAATATGATAACAAACAACAACAAAAATCTTCTATTTACTCTTGCTAACAGTATTTTTACCAATAGTATAAAACACAAATCAGAACTTAAAGAATAAATGCAAATAGGTTTATGAAAAACTCATCACCTTGTCTTTATTTTTCTCATTTAGCTGGAAAATCAATGAAAAACCATCTCTATACCTCCATTATATCTATTCCAAATATTTCATATAGGCTCCTATGCTTGACTCAGAAATTGTTCTAGTTCTTCTTAATGTGCTAGTTTTCCCAATAAGGAGAAAGTATATATATATCCACATATATGTTTTTTAAAGATTTTATTTATTTATTTGACAGAGAGATCACAAGCAGGTGGGGGCGGGGGGGGCGGGAAGCAAGCTCCTAGCTGAGCAGAGAGCCCGATGCAGGACTCGATGCCAGGACACTGAGATCATGACCTGAGCTGAAGGCAGAGGCTTAATCCACTGAGCGCTCCGAGGAGAAAGTATATTTAATATGCAGGTCACTGTATGATTAGACAAATTCTACCTTCAACTTTGTTAACATTCTCTCTCATTACATGCTTTAAGTTTTTATCTTTTGTTCTCTAGGCTACAATTCTAGCTTTAAAGACCCAGCTCCCTCATTTTACAAAGAATAATCTAAACCAAGACAAATTACTTCAACTTGAACACCTTGGGAATATACAGAAGCTACCTAGTCCCCAGATCATTGTGGACCTCCTCCTGGTGACTGTTAATGTTATTTTTATTTATTTCATTATTGCCTAACAAAATTTTAATGACGTTTCTATTCATATTAATTCCTTAGCTCAACACTAAAGAAATCAGAAGGCTTTTAAAAACATAATACAATGCTCTGGCTAATGAAACAGAAGACATGTAACATTCTTCTATTCCTTCCAAGTCTGTATTTTCTTTTTAAGATTTTATTTATTTGACAGACAGAGATCACAAGTAGACAGAGAGGCAGGCGGGGGCGGAGGGGGGGGGGGGGGAGCAGGTTCCCCGTTGAGCAGAGAGCCCGATGGGGGCTCAATCCCAGGACCCTGAGATCATGACCTGAGCCGAAGGCAAAGGCTTAACCCACTGAGCCACCCAGGCGGCTCCCAAGTCTGTATTTTATATTGGTTAAAAAGACAGTGCTGCCAATCCTTAGCAGGGATTAAGGGTCAGGAAAAGTACAACGCAGGGGCCAGGAAAATAATCCTTTTCAGCAACTCAAGTCAAATATTCAAAATAAGGTTTCTCCAATTTTCACTAGAAATACTATACTGATTTTTTAGAACATTTTATATAATTATTTTTTTAAAGATTTTATTATTTATTTGACAGAGAGAGAGAGATCGCAAGTAGGCAGAGCAGCAGGCAGAGAGAGGGGAAAGCAGGCTCCCCGCTGAGCAGAGAGTCCGATGCGGGGCTGGATCCAAGGACCCTGAGATCATGACCTGAGCCGAAGGCAGAGGCTTAACCCACTGAGCCACCCAGGTGCTCCTATGTAATTATTTTTAATCTAAGTAAAGCTTTCTACATTTTGGAATAAGTACAACATCTTTTTGTACTAAGATCTTTAGTATCTTTAGAATCCACAGAACTGGGTTTCTTAAGGCTATTGTAACATGATTGTAATATTCTGAGCATTTACCTTAAAATATGGCATATTACAGCTATAAAAGTAATTTTGCATGAGCATATTCTCTAAAAGAATATTTTAAAAGACTGCTACATGGTAAATTAGAATTTCAGAGGCACAGTTATGTAAAATCCAAAGAATGAGAAATTCTAAAACACATACTGGTAAAATTAATATTAATTAAAACTTCAGAAAAACCTTACTTTTTTCTTCCTTTCCATTTTCAATCAGGGAAACAGATTTATTTCCTTGGTTCACAGTCATCAAAATCTGTTGTAGTTGGTCTTGTGTTAGACACACCAAACTGCTCTTCATATTTTCAGCTGTGATGTGTTTTTTGCAAAGCTTCTGTTTAGCTACTACAGATGTATTTATGGTGTTTCTAGTCTTCTGTATATTGGGGGTTGCAGGTGAAATCTCTTTCTGGACATAAAGACAGTCTTTATCTATACACTGCTTGCATAAATCCTTAGTGGGTGAAAAAGTCATACTATTTTTTTCACCTTTTGCCAGTGAAGTTTCTGAACCCATTCTCTTCTTTTGCAAAAGTTTTCCACTCCTGATACAAGTATTTTGTGTTGATTTGAGAATGTATCCAGTTTGTTTTGTTCTTAAAGCACATTTTGCAAGCTTGGTCTTATTTCCCATCTGTTAAAACACCAAAAATTTATTCTTTACAATAGTCCATGAAAAATCAACAATTATCTTTATATAATGCGACGTCAGGCCTCTAAACTTTTTTCCATTTTGCTGTTAAGACACTATCTCCATGAGATACTAACATTTAACCTTTCCAAATCTTCACTTGAAAGTTTCATCAACAACTAGAAATTACAATTTTATTTCAACATAATGAATACAGAAGTTTTATTCTAGTTGTTACAGGACATCTCCATTCTACTTCGACTTTGAATCTCATGTCATGATTATGTCATTCAGACCACCTCTTTTCTTTATAGATATCTATAGACCTGTGAGTTAGTAATGTAGGTTAGTTATTTCTTGAATAACTTAACTTGTGGGTCAACGTCCCTCTAACATAACTCCTATATTAATTATTAGTGCTTTCATATCCACATAGATCATTCTTTCAATTTCCTGGCCTCTCATTTCCTTGAACTCTGCTCCTAGATTCTTGTCCTCTATGCTACCTCAGCTACTCATTCTCATAGTGATAGCTTATACTAACCTTGTAACTACTCCTAACTACAATCCCTCCATAATGTTTCAAGAATGACCAACACCCAATGTTTCCAAGCTCACTTTTCTTGCATATCCCAATTCTGATAATTCTTTAACTCAGCTGGGATCTATGATCTATTTATCCTACCACCTTCCTCTTGTCCTCCCTTACCAATCTTAAATTCCATGATTAACCAAAACCACCATCACCCTGTATTCTCAACTCCTCTGCTCTAACATATATGCTTTGCAAATCCCCAGACTGGTAAAATCTAACTCTTCACCTACTCTATGCCTGCACTCAGGAAGAAAAACACAAAGCCACAATATCTAGTTTCACCTTAAATACATAACCCAAAACAATTGTGCCCTTCATGCTACTTGGCAGTTACACATTTCACAAATTCATTAACTCTCTCACTCAAAATTTTAACAATTTCAACTTTCTCCTCTTTCCCAAAACTAATACTTTCCCTTTCATACTAATTCTCAGCTGAAGAACTTGAATACTACTGCACTGAAAATCTTACAGAGAAGCATTCAGAAAAAATTTCCAAGTTTCTACCACTAAATCTGTACCAGAATCAGTACTCATACAAACTGCTTATACTCCTGTTACTTGTAGATACTCCTATAATTCCTTCTTTCTCAGGGATCTTTCTCTAGCAAACCTTTGCTTTCTCCTGAACCAACTGTTTCTTTCCTGCTAGATCACATCTTTATCATCTTTAAAAATACATGATACTACTTTCCCATCTCCCACAACCCCATTCCAGCCACGCTTTCAACACCACCATTCCACCAAAACTGCTCATCAAGGTCATTAATAACTTTACATTGCAAATTGTGACTATTCTTCAGATCATCTTACCAGACTTACTAGCAGCATGTGACACCGTTGATTATTCCTCCCATTTTGAATCACTTTCTCTACTTAATTTCCTGAGGACTCCACAATTCTGGTTCTTGCTGTTCCTTCTGTCTTCACTGGCTGGCTCCCTTTCCCCCAGACCTCTTAACAATTGCTTAGTCCCAGAATCTCTTAGCTCTCACTTACCTCATTCACTTGTTAATTGTAGTTCTAAGTATTATCCATATGCTGATGACTCCCAAATTTGTCTCCAGGATGGACCTCTCCCCTAACTTGAGGTTCCATTTCCCTATCCAAACACTTCCACTGGGTTATTAATAGCCATTTAAAACAACATGCCTAAAACCAAACTCTTGATCTCCCATGCCCCTAAATAACTTCCTCCCTTCATTTTTCCCATCTCACCTACCCGTAACAAAAATTTTGGAATTATCACCTATTCTCTCATATGCCACACTTTCATCAGACCTTGTTTTGCTCCATCTTCAAAATATATCCTAAATCTGACCACTCCTGAAAAACTCTCTTACCATCCCTCTACCCGAAGACATTAGCTCTTGCCTGAATTACTGAAAAGCCTTCATATTTTCTTGCTTCTGCCCTTGCTCCCCAATCTGTTCTCAACAGAGCGGCCACAGTGAGTACCTTAAGAGGTTAAGTCAGATCATGTCGCTTTCTTCAAAACTTTCTAATGGTTTCCTATCTTACTTAGGAGGGAAAGCTGAACTTCACACAATAACCAAACAGACCTAATGATCTGTGCTTTCTTCACACTTTATCCCCTTATCTGATCTCTCTGATCTCATCCTCTATCTTAGCCTCCAGTCATATGGGCTTCTTGGCTATTCCTCATATTCATAAGGGACTCCAGTTTTAGGCCTTAGCACTAATCAATCCCTCTAACTGGGACACCCTTCCTTCAGATTCTACATGGTTCATGCACTCAACCAACATCACTAACTCAGTAAGGTCTTCTCTGACCATCCTATTTAAAATTGTTGATTTCCTGGGGTTTTTTTTTTGGGGGGGGGTAGTTGTAGCAGGTTTCTCACACTCTCTCACACTCTCACCTACCTAGCATACCCTTTTCCACAGACTGCTGTGCCCCTGTAGTGTGCCTCTCCCCCTTTCTCTCCTTTATTTTTCTCTATTTGATCTTGTAACATTCTACATTTATTTTGCTAAATGTATGTCCACTTAACTCCTTTTCCAATGCAAACTCCCTAGGGCAGAAATTTTTGTATACTTTGTCCACTGCTATCTATAACCCCAATACAGAACAGAGTGGAACAGAGTAGGTGTTCAGTAAATTTTTTATTATCCTCAACTATACCATTTAAAAACTGAATTATCTTTCTCTCCCATACGTGTTCCCTCTTTCAAAATATCCCATTTCTGCTAGACTCTCATACAATAGTACCCCAAATATCCAGGTTTCAGTTTAAAAAATCACCAATCATAGCAAGAACCAAGATCCCAAACTAACAAAATGGTATCATAGGTGTTTAGATATGCCCAAGTTCATCAAAGTGTCCACATTAAATATGTACAGTCCTTTGTATATGAATCACACCTCAATAAATCTGTTTATTTTTTTCCAAACCTTTAAAAAAAAAAATATCCCATTTCTGTGGCACTGTTTTCTAATCTCTCAGACCAGTAAGCATGGAGTCATCTTTAACTTTATCCTCCTTCATGGTCTTCTTTAGCTTATGAACAAGTATTGGTCATTTCTTCCTTCCAAATATCTTTTTCTCACCATTTACAGGATTATAAGCCTAAATTCAGGATTTCATTACAACATTATGAGATTACACCCTGCCTATCTCATATCTTTCCTCTATTTAATTCGCTGTACATTTTGGCAAACGCAATTAAACTAAAATAATTCAACGGTCATTCAATCAAAATTCACTGTTGCTTTTTATGTGCTCACCAATACGGAAAAGTGCTAGATAAAGATTAGTAACATACTTGCCGTCAGAGAGTGAGGTAGATGCCACATGACTTTCACCCAGCTTACATCCCAACTCTCCTTGTCCTTTGTAACTTACAAAATATATAACCATACTTGGACCAACAGCCAATCCCATTACACCCTACTATTCAAAATGTACCTGTACTATCAGCCACAAGATCTGCTTATTTTCCTCTTCATCTCATCTACATCCTATTTGTTCCTGGCCTTGGGCTTTTAATAACACCAGTACCACAATGGAAAATGCCTTTTTACCCTCCCAACTTATGGCTTTTTTTAAGATTTATTTATTTATTTTAGAGTAGAGAAGGGAGGGATCGAGGTGGAGGGAGAGAAGGAGTCTCAAGCAGACTCCTCAAAGAACACAGAGCCCAGTGTAGGCCTTTACCTCACAGTGCTGAGGTCATGACCAAGCCAAAACCAAGAGTGGGGCGCTGAACTGGCTGTGCCAACCAGGTGCCACTGAGGTTATTTTAATACAACTAATTCTCTAAGAAAGATGGCAACCTCAAATACTTACTGTAAATTAGGCTTGGTAGGAACTGGGATGAGCTGAAAATCATTTTTCCATCTAAAGGAGGCAGCCACAACTCAGAACCAGCCTACACCCCCAAAGAGGAATTTTAGTCTATTTGCTAGATTACCCAATATTTCAAGAGAACCAAAAAAGCCAGATTTACATTAAATTTTCCAATTTTTAGATAGTTCACTCTAGTTTTTGGAAACCACTATGTGGATTAAGCAAATTATCAGCAGATTGCATATAGCTTACACAGCTGAGCCCTACCTCCTCAGTCTCTAACTACAGCTACTATGATGTCACCTTTCTCTGATTCACACTGGGCTTTTTTGGGTCACTGATAGTTGAACATTTCATATCTCTAATCAGTTGCTCATTCAAACTACTAATAAGTACCGTGCATACCATTAACATATCCTGAAAGTCTCTCACTTCTGTCCCCTTTTTCCCATTTCACTAACCACTACACATATTCAGGAACACCTAAGACTCTCCCTGAACTGTAACTGGTCCATGACTAGTCTCCCCATTATAATCTGTCCTTCACCACACTGTCTGAAGCCCTTTCCTACAACACAAATTATACTGTATGGACTTCTCTTTTCAAAAATTCTTTAATGCTCCTATACATAAATCAAGGAAGTTCAAACTGAGTACACATCTAAACTCTGTAAGGCTCCCTTCCCTCCAAGCTTTATGTTCTATACTCCCCCCAAGATACCCACTATTCCCCAGATGCAAATTACGCTATCTTAGTGTTTAGCTATTTTCTAAGGTTAGAATATACTCCCATACCTACTTACCTATAAATATCTGCCTCACCTTTTAAGTTCTAATTAAAATGTCACCTCCTTTTACAAAGCTTTCCCTGGTCTCCACAAACTACAGAGATGCTCTTTGCAGTGTTCTCTGCCTTTTATAGCCCTACCATGGCAGACATTATATTCTACTTTATTGTATAGTTATTTACCTGACTGATAACCCCACATTCAGAAAATAAGGCCTAGGCTTTACTCATTTTTCCCTCTCAGTCACAGAAGAAATACAGCCAAGAACAGCACTCCACTAAAATTTTACAGCTTTAATAAATCCTTGTTAAATAGAAACCTACTAACTAGAGTTCTAATTTAAGTAGAATTATCCCACCACATTCCACTTACAAGAGAAAAAAATATACCAAAAAAAAAAAAATCTTCTAAAAATATTTAATAAGAAGGGAGAAAAGGGCAATGATCTGGCATGAGATCCGTATATATTCAGCTCAAGTCTGATTACTTTTGGGGGGGCAGGGCCCGGGAAAGGGAGAGGGAGAATCCCAAGGAGGGTCCACACCCAGCTCAGAGCAGGGCTTGATCTCACAACCCTGACATCATCATGATCTGAACCAAAACCAAGAGTGGGATGCTTCAATGACTGAGCCGCCCAGGCAGCCCCTGATTAATTTTTGTAGCTAAACAGCAGGAAAAAAAAAAAAAAAATGAATGGAGCCAGCAAAAAATCATGACCTACCAAATAAATATTCAATCATATTCAGGTTACTTCATAAGACAAAGCAATCTAGCCCAAATAATTCCCCAAGCGCTTACTGCATCAGATGAATTTTAATAGATCGAAGAATAGTCTTCATGTCTCAAACATTTTTATGTAGCAAGCTGGCTCTTTTAACTAGTTTTAATTCTACCAATATTTTTCATCATATAAACAAAGTCCAAAGCATTTGTTTAATATTGGCTGAGTTTACCATTTATATGGGGCCAGGATCCAAGGCCAGAAAGAACCAGAGAAAAGTAACATTTTAAATTATAAAATATGCTACCTAACACTAATACTCTATATACCCTTTAGTGTGTCACTACTGTGGTTCTCACATGTAGAAATACCTGTGAAAAAAAATTTTAAATGTTTAATATTTCAACTAATTTGTGAGACAAATGCATAAGTGTTTGGAATTTGTAAATTACTCATGACACTGAATCATTAATATTTCTTTCATTTCTCCTCCTATAAGCTTAAGAAATTGAGCTGGTAACCATTTTTACTTTATACTCCTTACACAGATTCAAAAAAATGCAGAAGGGATTTTGAAAAAATTAAGAAAGTACTCTGACCACAAGTGTTTAACTTGATGATGCGAGTTCAGTCGTGTTTAAAGAAGACACTATGACAATGACAGTAATTCAACCCGTGAGGTAGGGGAAAACCACAAATGCAGATAGGTGTTGTAATCACTCAGGAACTTCTCCCAGCAGAAAAAGAAAAGCACTATGAAAGGAAAATTCACCAGTAACTTATGGAAAAGAGAATCCAACATATAGCTGGATAACTGAGATCTAGGAGACTGAAAAACAGATTTAAGCAAAAAAAGATAAGCACTACTCTTTTTGTTTTTTGCTTTTTTTGGTCTTCTGTAAAGAGCAAAGAAAAAAATGAGGAGGATCTTAGCAACCCCTATAAATATGGGAAGAGAAGCTACTTAAAATAGAATCAATACAGAAGGGAGACTTAGGTTCCATCAGTAATTTTTTCCAGCTTTATTAAGGTATAATTGACAATTAAAATTTGTATATATTTAAAGTGTACAACTTGACTTGATATAGGCATACACTGTGAAAGTCACAATCAAGCGAATTAACATATCCATCACCTCACATAGTTACCATCATCAGTATTCTGAAGTCCCCAAAGCAAGAGGAATAAAACCAAACAATTTGCTCTAAGAGAGTAAATAATTTAAGATAACATCGGCTGAGACACATTATTCTGGAAAAAAGAATCCTAGAAAAAAATATTTCTAGACTACTAGCAAAATCTTGTAATGATTTTATCAGAAACCATCATATGTTCTAAGTTGGTTAAAAAGACTGAAATGTCTTCACAAATGTGGTGGCTACAGCAAATCCGTTAAAGACATCAATGGAAGGAGGGGAAAAGTGAAAGAGAAGAGATCAGGGGAAGATGGAAATCAACTATGACAAGCAGCTTTTTATCTAGCATCTCAAAAAGGGGTGCAGTATTTGCTAATGTGACTCAAATAAAATAATTAGTTGCAGTATTTTAATAAAGCAGGACCTGTGGTGCCTGGGTGGCACAGTCAGTTAAGCATCCAACTCTTGGTTTCAGATAAGGTCATGATCTCAGGGTCCGGAGATGAGGCCTAGAGCTTCAAGTGGTGCTCTGCACTCACTGTGGAGACAGCTAAGTCTCCTCTCCCTCTGTGCCCCCCACTAAAATAAATTTTAAAATCTTTTTTATAATATATATATAATTTTTTTTTTAAAGATTTTATTTATTTGACAGACAGAGATCACAAGTAAGCAGAGAGGCAGGCAGAGAGAGAGAGAGAGGAGGAAGCTGACTCCCTGCCGAGCAGAGAGCCCGATGAGGGGCTCGATCCCAGGACCCTGGGATCATGACCTGAGCCGAAGGCAGAGGCTTTAACCCACTGAGCCACCCAGGCGCCCCTAAAATCTTAAAAAAAAAAAAAAAATAGTGCAGGACCAGGAAAAATTATACAATTTGTATTGTGACTAAAAAAAAGCAGACAAGGTATATAGCTATATACCATATTTAGAAAGAAGTAACTTTTACAGGTAGCATGTGGAATTACTCTGATTATCATCACCCACTTATGCTGGATACTCAAGCAACTTCACCTTGATTAAACCTGGAAAAAATAGCAAAGCCATCAAGAGCTTAGAGGTGAAAAGTACACCATCCAAACTGAGCTCTATTCAAGAAACGCAAAGTAAGACTTTAAGATGCTACAAAGATAAAAGAAAAAAGAGGACAATAGTGAATTTGGGGGGAGTTGAAATTTCTGCTGATACTAATCTAAAAATGGAAAAAGAAATAGGGAATAAGAAAAGTAGGATATCAAAAAGTTGTAAAGTGGTAAAGGCATTTTGGGTTGCTGATAAAAATAATTTAAAAGGAAAATATCATTAAGTTCAAGTATGATCTCTTAAAGGAGAAAGCAAAATGCATGTATGAATTTGTGAATCAAATTCACCATTTTGGTGTGGAAAAATGGAATTTGAGTATGAAAAGAAAAATGTTTTCATTTTAAAGTGTGACTATATATTTTTAAAGATCTCAGGAACTGCACTGAGTTAATGTTATATGCACTGCATAATAACTACTAAATCTACATTAAAAATTAAACAAAATTAATAAATTCACTTCCTTAGTTACACTAGCCACATTTTAAGTGTTCGGTAACTACACATGACTAGTGACTGGTTACCATCTTGGAAAACACTAATCTTAGAACATTTCCATCATCACAAAAAGATTTATTAGCCAGCACTGACCTAGAGAAAGAGGTTCTGTATGACTTTTTAAACTGAAAAATTATGTTCCCATTTCTGTGAAAGGACCAGCCTGAAAGCAAGAGAACAATAACTTCTCATCATTATCTCATATCCCTTATAATATATTGACAGGAATTATTTTCAAACCACTGTTAAAAAAAAAAAAAATACCACATTTTACATTCAAGAACATGTCAGTTCATTTGGCTTACCTTCACAGAATTTTTTGATTTACATTCTACAAAAGAAAACAATAATTACTGAACTATCAAACAAAAACATACTAAGGCAGTCATAAAAGAAAATGTTTATTAACATTGTTTTAAGAAGATATTTAGTAGAAATATTAACCCCCAAATCATTAACTTTAGGTCCTGAGTATTCTAACTTTTAGAGTGTAGTGCAAGTATTTCTATTTCATTTCTGTTTATTTTCCAAGGTAGAACTATAAACAGATCAGAGAAAAAGAAAAGAGGACTACCAAAGTATACGGAGTTTTAAAATTAAAACTAAAAACTTTAGCAACTGTGGTCTTACTACAAATTTAATTTTCTATAACAACACATTTTACATGTACAGAACATAATTACATAGATTTCATCTAAATTATTCATTAGGCAACATATTAAACATAATATATACTGAAGCATTAAGTTTTATGAATAAATACTGACAGTGGTAAGTAGTGATGTAATCTGACTTTATTTGGCTAAAAATAAATCTGAGAAAGTTAGCCAAACAGCTTTCTGCAAAGTATCATATAAATATTACTCTATTATAAGGAAAAAGTATATTAAACTCATATAAATTTTATCTAGGAATTTAAAATTAACATTTTAGATTCTGATAACACAGCATACCATATGGAGATAATATTAACTTGGTTTTTCCATCCAACAATTCAGTTTCAAGCTTTAAACCATCTCTGCAAAAGAAAAGAAAGTTGTCATTTTTAAGAAGCAGCAACATTTTAAATAGAAATGAAAGGCTCATTTGAATCTTGAAAGTAAGTATGTTCTTTTGAATTTATACAGGAATCTTGTAAATAGTAAGCCATTCTTTTAATAAAAAAATGTTTTCCAATCCAAGATAAAACTAAACACTAGAGGGAGAAAATTCCTGAAACTTTCCAATAATGCAAAGCATTGTTATCTTTAACATGCAACTTCGTTTTCTTACTAGTAAGCAACAATTCAATCATCATAGCATTATTTAAATCTTACAACTCTAGACTGGAAAAAATAAAAATGCTGTTACCAAAACTCCCTACCTACGTTAAAGGAGGAAAACCTATCTGTTTACCAGTTTCATAATGATCTCATGACTAACGCATTCTATGGCATGCTACAGCTTTGAAAGTGAACTGTAACACTGCCACCAGGATTATTAACTTTTTTTAGCATACTGACAGTTCGTTACTATCACAACAACAAATCTGTAATAAGCTTTGGCTGCTCTAATTTATTTGTGCATGTTCAATGCAAAAGCACAAAGTAACAGCAGACACTGCCAAGGAAACGTCAACGTAAGATTCTAATCAAAACCACTGAAAACAAAAATAGTTCACATTTAATTTACTGTTTCCTAAGAGAGGGTGGGGGAAAAGGTGTGTGTCACTAACCATCAACTGGGACAAAAGTGCTGTCCAGAATTAAATCCAGCGGGCCAGACAAAGAAGAGAAAGGTTGGGAAAGGTCTGACTGGCAAGAACGAAATTTGCAGTGCTACTCAGTAGAGGACATCAAAATACCCCAACTTAATTTGTCAAGATAAAATACTGGGGAAAAAATGGGTTTTAAAGGTTTCCCTGAGGCAGGGTTAGAACAGTTCATGTTTACGTCAGTGAAACTGAACAAACAAAAGAATGAACCCGAAAAGTCTGTCTGTTCAGCATTACTGCCCTGTAAACTCCTTCAGGGGCTGATGTCTTCTCTCTCTCCACATTCTAGAACGCAAAATTCATTTGCTAAATGACGTGCAACAGTCTGAATTTGGTGGCTTTTCCCTTTTTTTAAATATTAAACTTCCCAGTGATGAAAACCCTGCAACAGTCCTTTTTACTCAACCGCTACTTAATGAGGGTCTATCAGGAGCCAAGCACTGGCAGGGCATCGATCCCTTAAGACCCGGTTCCTGGCATTCCGGGGGTTAAACTCGTCTGGACGCTCCGACAGCCTGAAAAGACGCCAAAGCCAGAGGCGCTAAGTACTGGGGGCCTGTGCCAGGATTTCTCCCAGGAAGCCGCTAAGCTTTATCTCTCCATCTGCCCTCTCCGCTTATCGTCTCTTCCCCGTCACCACCCCGAGGTCAGTGACAGGGCGGAAAGAGGTCCCGGGCAGATGTACTCCGAGTTACGATGTGGAAAAGCGACGGCGGTGGCAAAGGCCGTCCCGAGCCCCTAGCCCCTCTCCGCCTCGGCAAGCCAGGCAAAGCCGCTGAATGCGGCGCAAGCTGCGAAGGTGTTCCACGAAAGGCTCCAAGGGGCCAACCCAGCTTTAATCCCATCTTCGCTAAAGACCACCCTTCTCGGCCCAGCTTACCCCAGGTTCATGGCCTGACCTCTCGCTCTCTCCACAGGATGCGCAAACTCTGTGTACGCCGGTTGCCGCCGCCGCTCAACAAGCGCTGCTCCGATTGGACAGAGTGATGCCGGCGAGCCGGAAGAACGGACCAATCAAAGTGGGGCGTGCTGGCGGGTGCGCTCGCAGGGGAGCGAGGGGGCAGGGGCAACTGGTGGTGTCTGCTGGGCCTCAGGTTCTCTACCCTGCTCCTTGGGTGCTGGGGCTCTTGGTTTCTCTTGTAGCACCCCGATTTCACTCGGAGCCCTCGGAGAAGTGCCTCAGCTCAAGTGTAGATGGCGAAAACGTGGAGAAACAAAAAGCATAAGCTTTTTAGGAAATGAACATTTTATATTTGCAGGAGAGGTTATTGGGGTATAAAATAACGTGGAGGGCAAGCTGTTGGGAAGAGACTCCTAGGCTGGGTACAGGGTTTGTCTTGTTTCTGGCTCTGACCTAGGCATGAAGCCTGGTACATTATAACTCTTTGTAAATTGCAATAATTAGGGGCACCGTGGTGGCTCAGTCGTTAAGCGTCTGCTTTCCGTTCAGGTCATGATATCAGGGTCCTAGGATCCAGCCCTGAATGGGGCTCCCTGATCAGCAGGAAGTCTGCTTCTCCCTCTCCCACTCCCTCTGCTTGTGTTCCCTCTCTTGCTGTCTCTCTCTGTCTGATAAATAAAATCTTAAAAAAAAATTGCAATAATGAGTACTCAATAAATTTAGCTCTTTTGTTCCAGACAGGGATCTAAGCACTTTGTTACTGGAGCTTGAAAACATCATCCCTGAGGCGCAGAGAGGTTAAGCAACTTGTCCAAGGACTATCAAACACCCCAAAGCCCGTTTGTGTTCGGAACTAGTGTATGAGTCTAACTCCTGTTCATTCTTAAAAATCTAAATTTAAAAGTCGTTTCCTCCAAGAACCTCCTCTGGAAGACCCTGCTGGTAAATCAGGAATCCATTCTCTATGCCCCCAATCCCTTCCCTTTTGATCCCCATAGTAATGCATTTACAATCCTGTGTCAGAGTGAGCTTCAGAAGGGCAGGCAGTTGGTATCTTACATACCTCTCTGCAGCACCTGACACTGAACATTGTAGGCAGTAAATACTTGTGAGATGAAAGAACAGCAAAAATAAAAAGTGCCAACTTTATTATGTTGATGGAATGCTATTTCATGATGAGGATCATAATGCAATTACTAAAACCTCACAAATATTTTCATCTGTCTGCTCATAAGATTTTTATGAACTGTAGTTGTAATGAATGAGGCACAATGAATTCTTAGGGTATATTCTTTTTTTTTTTTTTTTTTGACAGACAGAAATCACAAGTAGGCAGAGAAGCAGGCAGAGAGAGAGTGGGGGGAGGCAGGCTCCCTGCTGAGCAGAGAGCCCAATGCGGGGCTTGATCCCAGGACCCTGAGATCATGATCTGAGCTGAAGGCAGAGGCTTAACCCACTGAGCCACCCAGGCGCCCCCTTAGGGTATATTCTGTGAAAACTCAGAGATCTTCTAAAATTCGTGTATGTCCCTGGTCTCTGGAAAATATACTTAAACAAACATTTGTTAATTAACTTGACTGAATAAATGAACATGGACCAATGTATATTTGATCCCTTGCTTTTGTGTGTGTGTATTGTGTAAGGAATACTTATCTTTGCATAGAAAAAAAAGACAAAAAGGATTTTTTTTTTTTAATTTATTTGACGGAGAGAGATCACAGGTAGGCAGAGAGGCAGGAAGAGAGAGAGGGGGAAGCAGGCTCCATGCTAAGCAGAGAGCCCAATGCGGGACTCGATCCCAGGACCCCAAGATCATGACCTGAGCCGAAGGCAGAGGCTTAACGCACTGAGCCACCCAAGTGCCCCAGACAAAAAGGATTTAAACCAACATGTTAACAGGAGTATTTCTGGGAGATACAATGGTGTGACTTTCAAAATGTTACTTTGCTTCTAACTTATTATTACAAAAATATTTAAATAAAAAATTACAGAAGGGTACAATGAATACCTGTATATCCTCTACCTAGATTTGGTGATTGTTAAAATTTTGTCACATATGCTTTCTCTCTTACTGTCTCTCTCACACGTGGGCAGGCACACCCATACACTGCCCCCTACCACACACCTTTTTTGGCATCACTATTTGCAAGATACAGATGTTATAACGCTTTGCCCTTAAACACTAAAGTAACTATCTCCTAGGAATATGAAATTCTCTTATATAACCATAGCACTATTATTGTACCTAAGAAAATTAGCAATTTCATGATAACATCTAATGTTCTGTCTGTATTTAATTGTTCTCACTATCCTAAGAATATCTTTGATTGCTTTTTATTTAGAAAGCTAGAGTCAACTAAGGAGTACAGATTACATTTGGTTGTTAAATATCATCTCTCTCTCTCCCCCATGCAGAATAACAACATAGTATATTTATTAGTAAATGCTTAGCCAATCTCTACATCTTTTATTTTTATTGTGGTAATATAATAAAATTTGCCATTTTAACCATCTTCAAGTGTACAATTCTGTGGCACAATGTTGTGCCAAATAGAAACTCTGTACTCATTAAGCAATAACTTCCCATTTCTCCTTCTCTGCAACCCTCTGGTAACCTCTAATCTCATTTCTGTCTCTATGGATTTGCCTATTCTAGATACTTCATATAAATGTATTCATACTGATATAGGCTGGACAGGTCCAAGGACCTTAATGGGGTCCCACAGAACCAGCCAAGAATTATCTTACCAGAGAAAGGAATGCTTGTAAGTCATTCGGTTGTCTGATTCTCCTGAATTTAACTTTTTTTTTTTTTAAAGATTTTATTTATTTATTTGACAGAGAGAGATCACAAGTAGACAGAGAGGCAGGCAGAGAGAGAGAGGGAAGCAGGCTCCCTGCTGAGCAGAGAGCCTGATGTGGGACTCGATCCCAGGACCCTGAGATCATGACCTGAGCCGAAGGCAGCGGCTTAACCCACTGAGCCACCCAGGCGCCCTGAATTTAACTTTTGAATAAGCCAAACTTAAGGGCATTGCAGAGACCCTCCTAACATAATAACAGGTATACATCTTGCTTATCCAAAAGTAAACAAATAGGTTATGATTATTTGAACTGTTTGTATAAAAGCATTAAAAAAAAACCTCCATGCTCTTACTTTGCTCAGTCATCTAAACCCCAGATGTGTAAATCATTTCCATTTCTTTGTATACTGTATTTTCTTTTTTCTTTTTTTTGAGGATTTATTTACTTATTTGTGGGGGAAGGGCAGAGGGAGACAGAGAGAGAGAATCTCAAGCACACTCCCCACTGAATGCAGGGCTCAGTGTGGGGCTCGCTCTCACAATCCATGAGATCACGACCTGAGCCAAAATCTAGAGACAGACACTTAACCGACTGTATCACCCAGGTGCCCCTATATTTTATTCCTGTATGAGTAAACACTTTTTTGTCATGGAAACTTCTGCCTTTCTCAAGTGCCCAGTAAGCTACCTTCAAGTTGAAAAGGTGTTTTCTGTTTATTTTGTTTCCAGGGGTTTGTAACAGTCTGGGTCCAGTCAAGAGAGAGAAGCCATGTGGCAATTTGAACAGGGAAAATCTAATATAGTGAATTATTAACTATGATAATAGTAGGGGTTTGGCATAATGAGAGATTGCCTAGTAAGAAATAAAGAGAACTCTAAAAAATATGGGAATAACAGATACAAGGAGCAGCTTAGATAGAGCCCTCGAAGAATAGCTCCCTTATCCCATAGGACAGAGATCCAGAACTTACTGGAGGATCTTGCCAGAAATCCATCCTCTAGGTTCCTGGGGCAATCTTTTGGACGAGGTATGGCACCAGGGGCATGCCACTACAGTACTGCCTGAGAAGGTTGCTGGGGGAAGCTGCTGATGGCTGGGTGCTACTGGCCACTATGCTGTACAGGAGTTAAATGCTGAGGACTTTGTGCTGGGGGCTGGACCCTGGAGATACTGCCTATGCTCCATGAGCCTGATGTTGGAGAAGCTGCCAGTGCTGCAGAAGCTGGAAAGTGTGCAAAGCCTCTTCCACTAAGATGGTGGATGTCAAGGAGCCTGCCAAGTGAACACACTGGAAGCAAAGACAGGACCCTTTCCTCCTGCAGTGTCTCTCCAGCCCCCTCTACTAAGTAAGCTTAACATGCTGTCAGCTACAAAGAAAAATACTTAAAGGGCCCAGATCCATTTTCACAGAGATGTAAAGGATGAATCCGAAGCTGAGCCAATAAGATGATAACTGACATATATTTTTGATATCTACCAAGGTTTTCACTCATATCACTCTCTCTCTCAAATTAATAAAGGGTTTTTTTTTTTAAATCACTTCCACGGTTCCACTCTACCCGTGTATCAGATACCCTTCAACATTTCTTACTGGCAGGTGTGGCAGTGTACCAATCGGTCTTAATTTATATTGCAACCTGATTTTTTAAAAAAAGATTTTTGTTTATTTATTTATTTATTTGACAGAGAGAGGGATTACAAGTAGGCAGAGCAGCAGGCAGCGAGAGAGGGGGAAGCAGGCCCCCTGCTGAGCAAAGAGCCCAACATGGGGCTCGATCCCAGGACCGCAAGATCATGACCCAAGCCGAAGGCAGAGGTTCAACCCACTGAGCCACCCAGGCACCCTTACAACATGATTATATCATGTATCTCAAGCATCAGCAGTTGGTGCAGGGGCATTTGGATTGATGGTGAAAACCAGTGGCTTTAGAACTGTAAAACTGTGAGGCCTTTCACTATCAGGACTACCTAAAACCCTTTTCACTGTCAGTGAATAAGGACCCTGCTGTATACTTCTTGGTTTTCTTCCTAGAGCACATGAGCACACCACCTTTGTATGATACACAATCATTAAACCCTACCTTGGAAAGTTGCATCCTAGGCTGATTTCTGCAGTTTTGCTTGAAATTGTTCAAAAGCCTTTCAGAAATACACAACTGGGAAGACCTTCCTGCATCCTCCATTTGTGGAATTCACTTTTCCTCCTTAAACAGCATTACTGT